TTATGTCATGTGGCTTTTTTTTAAGCTGCCACTTGGATTAACGAAAGGGCTTTTTCCTCTCCTATTAGTAATATATAGATTATCTAAATTTTAGTGAATAAAATCTTTGTTTAACTAACGGGACTATACAGGCAGCGCATCGAATAACTTTTTTGTTATGTATTTTTCTTTATTATATTTTCAAATATTTAATGCTACTACATTGTTAATAGAAAGTTTCATTAGCATATTACGTTATTTAATATTTTTCTCTGAAGTTTTTTTTATTTCTTTATTTTTATTTTTTTATTTTCAAATAATTTTAAAACTCCAACTTAAAACTACTCTCCAATTTGAATTGATAATTTATTATTTTTTTAATTTTGTTTTTTATTTTAAATCTCACATTTGAAGCTACTCCCGATTTGGATGAGTAGTTTTTCTTCTCTTTTTTTTCGTTTTTTATAGCTTTTTTTTTTTTGCTTTTTTAAAAAAATAATTTAAAAGCTCAAACTTGAAAATACTCCCGCCCAATTTGAATGGGTAGTTATTTTTTTATATATTTATATTTTCGTTTTTATATTATAGTTAATTATAAGATATCTATATTTATTAATTTAAATAAAGTAACCAATATATATATATATATGGTAGTTTTGTATTTGTTTTATTTTCATTTTTTATATATATTTAAATTCAAAAATAATAACCAATAACTAATTATTAATTAAAAATAACTACCAATTTGAATGGGTAGTTATTTTCTTATATATTTATATTTTCATTTTTTTATTATAGTTAATTATAAGATATCTTTTTTTATTTTAATTATTTTAAAACTCCAACTTGAAACTATTCCCCGATTTGAATGGGTAGTTTTTCTTCTGTTTTTTTCCGTAGTTTATAGCTTTATTTTATTTTTTTGCGTTTTGATTTTAAAATAATTTAAAAATTCCAACTTGAAACTACTCCCACCCAATTTGAATGGGTAGTTATTTTTTTATATATTTTATTTTTATTTTTTTATTATAGTTAATTATTAATATAGATATAGATAAGAAATCTATATTTATTAATATAGATATATTTAAATTAAAAAGAATAACCAATAACTAATTTAATAACTAATTATGCCATGTGTCATTCTATTGTTCTGCCATTTGGCTTAATGAGGTGCTTTTATCTTCTGCTTTTAATTATAGATAGATAAGAAATCTATTAATATAGATATATTTAAATTAAAAAGAATAACCAATAACTAATTTAATAACTAATTATGCCATGTGTCATTCTATTGTTCTGCCATTTGGCTTAATGAGGTGCTTTTATCTTCTGCTTTTAATTATAGATAGATAAGAAATCTATTAATATAGATATATTTAAATTAAAAAGAATAACCAATAACTAATTTAATAACAAATTATGCCATGTGTCATTCTATTGTTCTGCCATTTAGCTTCATGAGGTGCTTTTGTCTTCTGCTTTTAATTATAGATTATAGATAGATATATATATATATGGTAGTTTTGTATTTGTTTTATTTTCGTTTTTGATATATATTTAAATTCAAAAAGAATAACTAATAACTAATTATAATTAAAAATAACTACCAATTTGAATGGGTAGTTATTTTCTTATATATTTATATTTTCATTTTTTTATTATAGTTAATTATAATATATCTTTTTTTTATTTTAATTATTTAAAACTCCAACTTGAAACTATTCTCCGATTTGAATGGGTGGTTTTTCTTCTGTTTTTTCCCCGTTTTTTATAGCTTTATTTTTTTTATTATAGTTAATTATTAATATAGATATAGATAAGAAATCTATATTTATTAATATAGATATATTTAAATTAAAAAGAATAACCAATAACTAATTTAATAACTAATTATGCCATGTGTCATTCTATTGTTCTGTCATTTGGTTTCATGAGGTGCTTTTGTCTTCTGCTTTTAATTATAGATTGATAAGAAATCTATATTTATTAATATAGATATATTTAAATTAAAAAGAATAACCAATAACTAATTATGACATGTGTCATTCTATTGTTCTGCCATTTGGCTTCATGAGGTGTTTTTGTCTTCTACTTTTAATTATAGATAGATTTTCATTTAGGATAGAGGGTGAAGGGGTGAGGGGTGGGTAAGTGGCGGTGGGGGTTAGGGTAAGGTGGGTGGGTTGGTGGGGATGAAGAATATGGTGGGAAAGTTAAGAAGAAGTTTTGAAAAATATTTTTTCTTTTTTTACTAGAAAAAAATTTTTTCTCGAAAAATAAATTAATAAGAAAAATATTTAAATCAACCAATTGAAAATATTTTTTCTAGCGGACACACCCATAAAATTTCCCTAGAAATCGCCGCTAGAGCACGTCACTCTATTTTAGGTCCAACGTACGAGAAACCTCGGTACCACTTCTCTCTTTCTATACGTGTCTCTCCAATTACTCAAATTCTAACATTCCTAAACCCTAAACCCTAATCTTAGAAGTAAATCCGAACGGCCATGGCACATCACGCCGGAGACAACGACGGCGACGGCCAGAAACGGCGGCTCTATAACCCATACCAAGATCTCCAAGTCCCTATACAAAACCTTTACAAACTCCCCACCTCCCCTGAATTCCTCTTCCAAGAAGAATCTCTCGCACAACGCCGATCATGGGGAGAAAACCTAACGTACTTCACCGGCATCGGTTACCTCTCCGGTTCTGTCCTCGGCGCCGGTAAGGGATTCATCGAAGGCGTAAAAGCTTCCGAGCCAGGGGATACCTTAAAGCTCCGGGTTAACAGGATCTTAAACGGGTCAGGTCATACGGGAAGGAAATTCGGGAACCGGGTCGGAATAATTGGGCTGATTTATGCGGGTATGGAGAGTGGAATGGTGGCGATTAGGGATACGGATGATGTGATCAATAGCGTGGTGGCGGGTTTAGGGACTGGAGCTTTTTATAGGGCAGCGGCGGGGCTGAGATCGGCGGCTGTTGCTGGGGTTATTGGTGGTTCTGTTGTTGGCCTCAGTGTTGCAGCGAAACAGGCCGTGAAACGATACGTACCCATCTGAGCTTTTGTTGGTAGATTTCTGTTGTTACTGAAATTTTAGATGATACGTTGCGAAATTGTTTTCAAGCTGAGCAGTAATGTAATTATTTCATGAAAAGTTGCATGCTTTCTGGATGTATTTACATGTTTTTTTAATAGATATTCTGAAGTTAGGTATGAAAGACACTTGTATTGTATGATTAGTTAGCTACTGCATGCCATCAAAAGTGCACCTTGAATAGAAATCACTTAATGTTTTTCGCCTCTATTGAGATTTGAACTTAATATCTCATTGTTCTCCTTTCCTTCATTGACTACTGGCATCACACCTCGGGTGCTATAATTATTTCATGAAAGTTGTATGCTTTCTAGAGGTGTTTCCTTATCTTCTGAACATATACTCTGAAATTAGGTTTAAAAGAGACTTGGTATGAGTAATTTACAAAACAGAGATTTGCTAGTGAATATAGCACCTTCAAATGGGGGGATTTGCATCTATACCCGCTTTTTGTGTCATGTTTTAACTTGTGCCTGCTTTGCAAAAAAAATTGCAAGCGTACCCGCTTTTTCACATAACTTCAGCATACGGGGCTGAAGTAGCAAAGACAATCACGCAAAACTTCAACATTCTAGTAGCCGGGCCTGATGTTCAGCTCTAGAGCTGAAGTTTTTGTTTTGTAACTGTCGAACTTCAGCTCTAGAGTTGAAGTTTTTGTTTGTAACTGGCGAAGTTTTTGTTTGTAAGCTTAAGCTCTAGACCTGAAGTTTTTGTTTTGTAACTGTCTGTAGTTTTTGTTTGTAACTGGCAAGTTTTTGTTTGTAAGCTTCAGCTCTAGAGCTGAAGTTTTTTCTTTGTAACTGGGGAAAGTTTTTGTTTGTTTATAATTTCATTTGCCACACCATCTTGACCAAACTGAAAGAAAATTAATTAGAGACAACAGGAGAACAACTGCACCACAAACTTGCAAACTGTGTTAGATTCTTTACTTTGCATAGGATCCACGAAACACTGTAAATATCCTCAGAGAAATTAGAGAGGCAGATTCAATCCATTCATTCATTCATTCATTCATTCACTTTTTGTCCTTATACAGAACTGTACGATTATTTGCCTGAGTAGTTTCATGACTTTTACTGCTGCTACTTACCAGATTAGGTAATTACGAGTTGTAATTAATCAAACAAATCACCAGTTTTGTGTGTGTATATATATATATATATATATATGCATTGTCACGTGATAGGAAGTGACGAAGAAAGCAAATTGGTTGTTATGTATAGGTTGGCGTGAAAATTTATAGGACTCACAGGAGAAATAAGAAGAATTAGATAGGGATGAACCTTACTTCTGGAAAAAGAAAAGATAAAACTTTGAAGAGGAGAAGGAGGAGAAGAAAGGGGCCTGAAGTTGTTTAAAAAGTGGGTACAAGTTAAAAGTTTTTAAAAAAATGGGTATAGGTTAAATGAGGGCAACCAAATAGAGCGCCCTATGCAATTTTTCCCTTCAAATGGTTGTTCCCTTACTTTGTGTTCTCCGTCAATTGTCTGTGTTTATTACAGATTTGTGCAAAATTTCAAGAATGCATCTTTAGCCATTGCACAAAATTTCAAGGATGCACCTGTGTAGGAGTGGCAAACAGGCAAGGTGGGTCGGATATGGTTCGGGTCGAAAATGGGTAATGAAAAACGAATCAATTATCCGACCTGACCCATATTTAATACGGACAAAAAACGGGTTAACCGGCGTATAATATGGATAATCATATCCATATGATCACTTTTGGGAGAATAGTCTCCCTAAAATCCCCAATTTGAGGCTTTAGACCCATTGGTTCTTATCCATATTTGACCCATTTTTAAAAAGTTCATTATTCAACCCATTTTTTAGTAGATAATATGTAATGGTGCTCTGCTACTAGTTTTGTACCAATTGTTAGTTACTGAAAAAGCTGTACAGTAGATAGCATTTGGACAACTAAATTCAAGTTGCACTTTTTGATGGCATACAGTAGATAATTATTTTTGCTGTAGTCATTTTGGGTTCTTGAGAAGTAGTAGTTGCCATTTATTCTTTGATGGTCAACGTCTGGATTATGATCTATGAACTCATTGAAATCACTTGCTTTGACAGTTACAAGAGTGTTAGTTCTCTTGCTGATCAATTTTATGCATGTATCAGTTCCCAACTCGTTTGAGAACGAGGCATAATAGTAGTTGTTATTGTATATGAACTGTGACAATTATACTTTCTTGTTTTGCAGTTGGGTTAATTGCTTAATCTTCCCAGTAGGATCGCTGTTTATTTGTTTGACAGTGCATATGGTCTTTTTTTTTTTTTTTTTTAAATTG